TTTATCAGCTAAGATAAAATCAAAACGTATTATTAAATGACCTCTCTTTATATTTCCTAGAACGAACTTTGAGTTTATTAAACTAACACTTGCTGACTGAGTTGTGAAAACTAAATCTAAGGTATTTATAAGTTGATCGTCTGACAGCTGGAAAGTTGGTATGTTGATATGCTGGTAAAAGAAATTTTCATTTAAAATATCTAAAAATTTGTGTTCAATTCCATTCTCATTTGAAATTACATCTATTACATCTACACAGCCATTTGCCCAGCTAATAGATGGAAAATTGAAGTCACCCGTGATTAGAAAATCTTTGAACTTATTTTTATCATAAACTCACGTGCACGACTGAATACCACATGAAATTCTGACATGTCTATAAAATCATTTGGCCTGTAGATGCAGCCAAGCAAATACTTGTCTTTACCAAAGTAAACTACTGCCCACACTTGTTCAAATTTGCAAAGGTTTAGACCTGCATCATTTAGTTCATATGAGTCTATTAAATTGTCTATATATAAACACACTCCACCGCCTCATCTGCCATCTAATTTGTCTTTTCTATACAAATGAAAACCCTCAAAATTTACCATTGAATTGTTATTGAACCAAGTCTCAGTCACAGCAACTACATTTGGTTTGTATTGTTTGATCACAACTTGGAATTCATTTAATTTGTTATCGAGAGAGGTAGCATTTAAATATAAACATGACAGCTTTTCAACTTCAATACCATCTGAAACCAAATCTTGAGGAAACTTATTGATTTGATTTCTTTTTAAATTTGACGATTTGATTGCCACGGATGCCATACCAAAAGGGATCATTGTCTGTTCTTGCTTGATACATTTTATTTCTTTCAGTTCTAAGATTGAAATCTTGTAACCTTTGTACTTCCGTTAAGTCTGGACTAAGATAACAACTTTTATGTAGCTCATTACTTCTCAATTTCTTAGCTGATCCTAAAATTTTATTGCAAAGAAAATCCTCAGTTAATTTAACTAGAATTGGGCCTGGTTTATCAGTTTTAGATCTCAACCGTCTAATAAATTTTGATATAAAATTCTCTTGATCTATAATTTTAAAAATTTCTTTTACTTTTGACTCATCATCTTTTGATTTTATTTCAATCTTTTCATTAGCAGATTCAGCTACACCATAAATAATAACATTTTTTGCCCTCTCTTTCTCTCCTCTAATTCATTAATGGCTACATTTGTTGCTAATAGTTGTTCTGTTGGCTTCTTTTTTTGTTTACCCTGTTTAACAATAAGAGACCAATCACAGATAGACTTGCTTGAATTAGCTGCTTTGATTATTTCTTTTTTTAAATTTTGAATGTCGCTGTCATTTTCAATCTTAGTTGTTTCTAGTTTTTGCAATCGTTCAAAGAGTTCCAAAAAAGCATGTGAAAGCTGGCTACACCAATTATGAATATCTTTAGTTGATTGCGAATGTGAACCAGCACCCAGTTTTGGCCAATTGTCTTGTTTAAGAAAATCCAAATTCATTATTATAATTGATTATTCTTACTCTCTTGATAAGAGGGCTACTACCCTAAACAGTGGATTACCTCCAGTCTGAAACTGTAAGCTGAGAGGGCTACCCCCCTAAATAACAGTGGATTACCTCTCGTAGTGAATTGAATATTGTACCTTATTAACACAAATACTGAAAATAGTTTAGATGTGTTTTTTTCCGTCATATATATATATATATATATATATATATATATATATATATATATATATATATATATATATATATATATATATATATATATATATATATATATATATATATATATATATATATATATATATATATATATGTATATACATATATGTAAGTATATATATATATATATATACAAGACAGGCGCGATGAGGGGGTGTAACATCCCCTTATCAATGATTTTTTCGTTCACTTAGTCGGCAAATTTGACCCTTTTTGACTAGTTAGTCGGCATATCTAGACCCTTTTAACAAGTTTGTCGGTAAGTTTAGACAGTCAGTCGACAAATGTCGTTATGGCAATCGGCAAATTTTAAAAAACGAGGACTTTTTTTTTTTTTTTTATATTTGGCAAAATTCGTAATGGCACCCCCGCTCTCCCCCACGTGACACCTACTCGCGCAGGCCCTAGATATATACATAAAATACACAAACTCACACACAAAACAAATGATTGGGGCTCTAAAGAAGATAACTGTTTTCTTATGACTTTAGATATTATTTTATTAGAAGATGCATTCGACATTTTAATTTTTTTGTTATCAAAAAATTAAACAAAATCATCCACACTTGAGACAACAGCTTTTATTTTTCTTTGCATAAATTTTTTTTTACAAATTGTGCTCTTGATAATTTCTTCAAGCCGATGAGTATTCTGAGCTGGAGAAGGACATTGTATCATTCTTTTTATAGCTGACATTAAAAGATAAATGATTTAAACAATGAAATTATAAATTAATAGATGATTAGAGTTGGACACACTAGCGTTGTTTTCAAAGCAACAAAGAAGTTCATGAGCATAGCCTTATTGACCTAACCTCATTTTTTTCTGTACAGTATACGAATAGCTCTACACTTAAACTAAAACTTAAAAAACAGATAAATTTTTCTTTGCTTAGTATATATTTCTAAACCACTCGCTCGCAATATAAAAGAAATTATAAGCAGCCACGGCTGCTTAAAGGTGTATATAAGTAAACAGTAAACAGAACATAAGTAAACAGTTAATAAATCAATTTGCCCAGATGACAATTAAAGAGCACTTTTTAATAGATAAAATATAATTTTTTAGTACAACTAAGGTCCACACTTTGAATTGTGTTGAGAGAGAACTGCACCACATCTACTTTAAGTGACTCCAAGACACTGATATCCATGTGATGATTTTACATCGATGGTATTTGTCTACCAGTTTACATAAACATCATTAAACCATTATAGATTTCGTCTACATTACAATCACATCCATAATGACCATTATCAGGATTAAATTAGAACTAATTTAATTGTTATAATGGTCATTATGGATGTGATTGGTCTTTAATGTAATGGTCATTATGGATGTGATTGTAATTAAATAAAAATATTTTACCTTTAACTTGTATGATTTTTTCATTTTTATCAATGTCATTTGCCATAAAGATTCTTCGATAAAGTATGTAGGCAGGTTTTAATAAAGGGAGTTAGTTATGAATGCATACAAAAGAGAGAGAGAGAGAGAGAGAGAGAGAGAGAGAGAGAAAATAGTTGATTAAAGACAGAAACTACATACGCAGTATGAATAAATCTTGTTCTCTATCTATAAAAAAACTTGATTTCTTTTTTTATTAACAAAAGAATCAATTTTTACGAGTTTAAAAAATAATCTTTTGGTATGCAATAGAGTAATGTGCGGCCGTGTTATACACTAGAGTAATTGTGCGACCGTGGCGTAGTGGTTCGAGCGCTTGTTTATAAGCAGGAAATCCAGGTTCGAAACAAGCTTTGAACATATTTTGCGTCGCGGTAAGAAAGGAGGCGTGAACATTCTGGTAAAATCCACTTCCGCGGTGCATTTAACCAGAATTCCGTCTGTGACAAGACCGTTAGGACTTCTTTGGGCACCTAAAATAACAAATTTAAAAAAAAAAAAAAAGTAATGTCAAAGTAACTAAAATTTTTTTGTTTTTAATGCTTTGAAAAAAATGCGATGGGAAAGGGTTGGGGGTAAGAAGGTTGATTTTATAATAATACCTATGCGTGCAGTGGGAAGAGAGGGGGGAGGGCGGTATACTCACCAACTAAACCAATAAAGAAGTAATATGATGCAACTAAATACATTTAAAGAAAAATTAAAAAAAAATGCAAATAAGTGAAAATAAGGTAATTGCAAAGAAATACCAAAAGTAAAGTGTTCAATGCAAAAAATTAAATTAAAAAAAAAATCTAACATATAAAATATTTTGGAAGATATAAAAGCCTAACTTTATAGTAGCATCTGAGTTTTAAGACATTTTCAATAGCGTCATAACTCGTGCTGAAATATCTACACAAAAGTGATTACAATGTAATTCCTCTTGTTAGTATACAGAACATTTAACAACCCGATAGCTAGGTCCTCTAGGTCCTCTCTAAGTACTGGGAAATTATCTTTATTACTTTCATCATCACTGCTTTTACTTTTTCTGCTGCATTTAAGGATTTCAGTCCTATTGAGCCCTATTTGTAAAAATAGCTAAAACTGCAACTGTTATTTAAGCAACCAGAATTTTTAACTTCTTCATTTAGAACATAGTTACAAAGGTTATTTATTAACTGTACTAATTTAACAGTCTTTCTACAAGCATTGTTGAAGCATTTGTGCTTTCTTTTTACTTTTGGAACTTCTCGTTTATGTTTAAAAATTTCACTGATTTAATAATTGTTATAAATGCTTTTTACAAATTTTGTTCAAACAAACAATCAAATAATCTCATTTCCTTTAGCTTGGTAACTCTAGGAAGATAAAAAGGAGAGATTTGGTCCAATTATACAAACATAGGCATGGCGTTTACAAGATAAATATTGGAAAATGTTTTCCAATTTTAAAAAACCATTTAAGATAGGATTGCTTTGAGACTCTTAAAGCTGCAACACAGTTAAAAGTTCCTTTTTAAGAATTGTTGGTGCATGGAACTTATTTTAAATTAAAGTTGTAACAGCAAAAACAGCTTTTAATTAATGGTTGAGTAGCAATCAAATATAACTGCTGTAATACTATTGCAAGCAGAGTACATAACATTCACTGGCTCTGTCCAACACAATAATATATTCACTGGTTCTGTCTAACACAGCATAAACTACGACTACTATTACTTCTAATATGTACTTAATTAACACATTTATATTAATATTTTGAATTTGTTATTTAGTAATAAATAAATAAAATTTGTAACCTCCTCAATTTGAGGGGATTACAAATTTTATATGGTCATAATTTTTGAACGCTCAAAGATAATACTATGTTACTCAAAATTTATTGATGAATATAAGTCTATTTAAGAATAGTACAAAAAATATTTTATCAACTTGTTATCCCTCACGTTTGAGGCGGGGAGGGGAGGGGTAATTATATACACAATGTTTTTTATAACATTGTGTATATAATTAAAATTGCAATTGTATATAATAAGATAACTATAATGCTTTCTGTGCAACCCTAGAATGCAATGGAATTAAATTCAAACGATCATTTGATGATTGGTAAATGATCAACGGTTGATAACATCCTTTTATTCGTAATAAGTAAACTATTTGGAATACTCTATAATTTTAATTTAAATTATTTTTTTATAAATAGTTTGGGTTGTTTATTCTTTAAAAGCCGTACAACACTTTTTAAAAGACCTAGCAACAATTTTTTTATTTGCTGAGTAAGTATTTTTTACCCGGGTACCAAATTGTACTTTTAGGGTGCTGCATAGTATTTTTTACCGTTTTTAGATTAAGAACATTGTTTTAGATTGACTATAAATAGAGTAACTCCCATTAAGATCGGCTTCTCTTTCAGTTTGGTAGCGTTATTTTTTATAAACTCGTGTTAAAATGATTGATTAAAAACTTTTTTAGGCTTTATTAAATCCATCGTTACCAACCTGCTGAATCGTTATTATCGTTATCAACTTGCTGAGTTGTTACCAATGCTACCAACCCGCTGAATTTCCTCCTTTTCTATAATCACTATCTGCGCATAATTCTCCATCAAAACGAACAATAGCTTGGACTACACCCATTATCTCATCTATTCAAAAAATTAAAAAAATGACTTTGATTTTACTCTGCAAAACAGTTTGCATATATATACCAAATATATATATATATATATATATATATATATATATATATATATATATATATATATATATATATATATATATATATATATATATATATATATATATATATATATTTATATATATATATATATATATATATATATATATATATATATATATATATATATATATATATATATATATTTATATATATATATATATATATATATATATATATATATATATAAATATATATATATATATATATATATATATATATATATATATATATATATATATATATATATATATATATATATATATATATATATATATATATATATATATATATTAGGGTAGGTCGATTTTAATTCCGCATATTGCGTAATATTGCAGTAGTTGTAGACAGTTAAAATACGATTACTCTCAAAATTTGAGAGATTTTGGATAAAGAATCGCTTGCGGATTTAATTTTTAAGATTTGTTGGATTATGTAAAAAAACACCTTAAAAAGCGTTATATGCAAAACTTGACGTTTTAACTAAGTTCATATTTAAATGTTTTTCAATACTATTTGCTTTGCTGTATGATTTAAGTTTATAACAGTTTATAACAATTAAGCTAAATTTATAACAACTTGTTAACTATTTGAAGATTTAAATAGTGAAACTTTTATTCTTATATTTACATAAGAATATCAAAATAAACATTATTTTCACAATTTAAAAACATTTTGGCTATGGAAATATATATTTTAGGAAAACATTTTCAATTAAAAAATATCATCATAAGAATGGGAATAATGCCCTTTTGAAATATACGGTTTACGCATCTTCCTGCTAAGTAGTTTAGTTAAAATGCAGCTGTGTCGATTCTCGAATCCATAAACATATTGGGATGCGTCCGACACAAGTTTTACCGCTCGCTCAACACTCTGGGAGTGAGATGGAAAGTCGGGGATTTCAGGTTTAACATTATTGTCAATCGCATATTGGATTTGCTCAATTGAAAAATGTTGTGTTGTTGGGGGCTCCGTAAATTTAGTAATGCTGATATCAACCAACTCATACCAATGATTAGCATTAGAATTAATTTCTGGAATTTTTTTCAAATTTACTTCCAAACTTTCGATGTTTACTCTATAAATATAAATCAAATCCAATTACCACATTTAATGTATCATTTTTTTTCAAAACTTTATTTTAGTTTACTATAAAAAAATACCTTTGCCTTAGACCCAGTAGGATTTGAAAACCTAAGTTTCGTATCTTGCTGTCATTATCTTTTAACATGGCATAAAGAATATTTTCAGGTTTTAGGCACAATGCATTGTTTTTAATGTTTTTTTTTAACAATATATTTAACATCATCAAAGGGGAGATTATTTATTCTAGTGATAGTAGAAAAAATAAAGCGCGGGGATTCGTGAAATTTTGAAGATTTTTTTATATCGAACCACGCTGGAGCGTAAACCTGAACTATAAAACATACGAGTTTTTTTAAAGAAACAGTTGATTGATTGTCTCTAGTATACAAACAGAGAAGGCGAATAGCTATAGTTACCTTGCGTGTAACCACCTTGCGTGGTTAAGCGGTCCAATTTTATAGGCGGCCCATTTATCAGAAACTTTACCAAAAGCCTATTCCTTTGCAATATTCAAATAAAAGTCTTTGATCGCAACTAAGGTCTACTAGTATTTCTTTTGGAATATATCCATCTACAATTGGGTTTTCAATACGATTAAACAAAACTTGATTTTTATCCTGAATATTTTCAGCACATCTTTTGCCAAGTAAACCACTAAAGCTTCTTGGCCCAGTTGTGTCACCATCAAGTTTTACAAAAAGAGCTCGTAACGGAAGTTTATTTTGATGTAATGCGCATTCAATTAGATGTAGTTTTCTTTTTAAAAACTCTTCTAGTTTTACCACTAAGCCACTTATTGGTCCAGTATTGGCAGCAGTATTATCAAGAAGAACAGCTTGTATACTTTCCAAACTGTTATGTTCTTGTAAAACACTAAACGTTTCGGTAGCAAGAACTAAACCTGTAGCACCGGTGACAGGAATCGTCCTATGAGTCAAATAATTTCCACTCGATTTTCCATCTACATAAGTAAATGTGAGGTGATGTTCAAGTTCAATGCATTTCTTTAGTACTTCTCCTTGAGGTAAGTTTATTACTATACTTGTTTTAGTTATTTGATCGAGCTTGCTGTCAACCCCAAGACAAATTAACTGTTTTTTTTTGTTCTGAGTCCACCTCTTCACTAACGATTTTTACTTTTGACTTGGCCCTATCTAACTTGCATTTATCAATCAAAATATCTTTAATATCAACGTCATTTTTCAAGAGATGTTTTATGTCATGTAGTAAAGCATTTGCAAGGGCTGCACCTACGTTTGACGAACACTCATTTCTGACTAATTCCATTGCAAATCTTGGAAGTTTAACTAAGTTGTATTTTCCAATAGGATTATTTACTGGTTTCCATTCACCTTCATCCTAAAAAGAGTTAATAAAATAAAACACTTTCTGTTTCATCTGTTACAAATATTTCATGTATTTATAAAATATTTACCTCCGTATTGGTCAAACCACTTGTTTCTTCAATTAAGTTTACTTGTGCTATGAGAGATTCATCTTCATTAACTAGCTTATGAGATATTTTTTGTCGTTCTTTATCAAGTCTTTGAATCCTTTTGACAGATAATCTATCGACGGAAGAAAGTTGATATGCACCTTTTGGACCAATTTTTTTCCTCTGATCACGAAGATAAGCTCTGTCTTCCAGAGGCACTTTATTACTTTGAGAACAAAGGCATACAATATGTTCTTCGATGCAATTTTATTTATTACATGAAACTTTTCTGTCACTACAGGGAAACACATCTAATGAACAGGAACACGCAGAAATATCAAAAAGTTTGTCCAAGTTTGCATCAAGATTTCTTTTAGCGCTTGCTTTTCCGTGCTTGCGATTAATATCCTTAACAAGTACGAGAAGATCTTTAACTTTCCTATTAATAGATTTGTCAGTTTTAAGAGGTAATCTTGGGTTTACTGTAGCCCAAATTGATTTTATATTATTGCTAATTTGCTGAGTCACTAACAAGATATCTGCATTTGGATTTATATGAATAAGATAGTAATAATACTGAATAACCTGTCTAAAAGTGCTTGGATCTGTCGTTGATAGTTCACATGGGCCACCACAATATTTTTTTTCACTTTTCATCCGTGTAATTGCAACCTTTACTTTCGGCATTTTTGTAAATTAATTATATATGTAAACTGTATTAAAGTATTACACTTAGAGTAATGGGCAACAGCGTGAGTTTTTAGTGGGGGCCTATGCATCAAAAAAACCTAAAATATTAAAACTTACTATTAAAAACCTGCTTTGATAAAAATAAAGAAATAAAACTCTTTTGAAAAGATTTGGGGGCCATGAATTCAGGAAACTCAGGAATTGAGTAAAACCATTAGTTCCGTTTTATATTTTAATCTACTTCAGAAATTGCAAATCAAAAGTTATGTAATATAAACAGTTTAAAACATTACTCTAGATATAATAACCATAAGTATTTACCTTTGATATTAAAAGATTTCTTTAAACTGCAGTTTTATTTTTGAACCTACTTTTTAATAAATTTAACCTTAAAACTAACTTTAAAATACAAACAAGAAATATAAATACAAAAAAGATTTGCTAAGTTTAAATGCGTGTAAACGATTTAGCGAAACTTTATTGGCTTCTTAAAACAATTGCGCTTGTTTATTGGTTACTTTATATACTCAAAACGAGATATTTAAAACGAGATTACTAGACTTAAAATAAAATTTTGCAACGTTTGAAATAAACAATCTAACAAAACTAGTTCAAAATTAAGACTTAAAATGCAAATCCGCAAGCCATTTTTAAACCAGGATACTTGAGATTTGGTAAAAACTCATTTCTAACCAAGACACAGTTACTGCAACATTACGCAACTCAAAATTCAAAAAAAAAGCTAAAATCGACCTACCCTAATATATATATATATATATATATATATATATATATATATATATATATATATATATATATATATATATATATATATATATATATATATATATATATATATATATATATATATATATATATATATATATATATATATATATATATATATATATATATATATATATATATAATTATGACCGTATAAAGTTTGCGACCCCCTCAAATAGAGGGGGTTTTAAACTTGATATGGTCATAATTTTTGAAGACTACAATATTTTACTACGAATTTTAAAATTTCTTCATGAATATAAGTCTAGTTGATAATAGTACAAAAAATATTTTATCAAGTTGTTGCTCTCACGTTTGGGGCAGAAGGGGGGCTAAGATTTTAGGGTTTCTTGTTCCCATACTCCTATCAAAGTAATTTTTTTTTTTAAAGAATGTTTTTATCATACATATGATTGTAAAAAAATTTGGAATATACTTGTTATTTATAAGTTGTTATTTATAAGTTTCAAACATTTAAAAACCTTCCTACGCCACTGTATTACATATCCAGCTGGATATGTAGGCTGGAGCCAGCTGGATATGTAGGCTGGCCAGTAGGATGGAGCGATTTTCATAGCGAAAAAAAAAAAATTTTTAAACCAATATTCCTGAGACACGAATCGATGTCTATTAATTATAAGATGAAAGTAAAAAAATATTTTTTGGTTTTGATAAAATTTTGAGGTTCCTCTTTGGATTCTAAATCTTTGACGGATCCTAATATTTTTGAATTTTTTTTTTTCTAAACTATATCAACCTTGGACTCAAAAAAAAGCAGAAAAAAATGCTTGTTTTATCAATAATAATTTTATTAGAAAAAAATTTTTAGTGAAAAAAATATTTGCAAAAATATACCTTAAAACCCCCGTTTTGATGAAGACGGGGGTTTTAAATGAAAAAAACGACATTATTTTTTTCTCTTCAGTTTTAAATTAAAACAAATATTATATTCAAAATAAGCGTATTATTCTGCTTCTTTTGAGTACCAGGTTAATATGGTTAATATAGTTAGAAGAAAAAAAATTTCAACAATATTAGGATCCGTCATAAATTTAGAAACCAAAGAGGAACCTCTAAAACTCATTTATATTAAAAAAAAAAAAAAGGCTCTTTTTTCACCAAAAGACATCGATTCGCAGCTCAGGCTAATCAAATTTCAAAAATTTTTAAAATCGCTCCACCCTAATATCCAGCCAGCAAAAAACGTTCAACAAACGTTGCGAACGTTCAAGAACGTTCTATGAACGTTCTTAAAACGTACTCGAACGTTTTTGTGTTTGCAGGGGTATAAATTTTATAAAATATATACCTATATATCTATAAAATATATATCTATAAAATATATTTTATTACACATAAGCTTATTTATGTTTATTTGTCAATTGAACATTCTAATCAACTTGTATCTGTGGCTGCTTAAATCTACTTAAATCTACTTTTTTTTAAAAACAATGTTGTTTTAAAAAGATAAAACAATCTTTTTAGCTGATTAATATTCCATAGAAATTTTTTCCTTTTTTCAATTGATTTTTTGAGAAAATTCGACAAGAAAAATATCAATAAGCAATCCAAGTAGTTTGTTTGTTGTAAAAGGCATTACAATGTATATGAATTTTAGTAAAAGTCGTTTTTTGAATGTTGATGACTTAAAAACATTGTTAAAAAAAATACTGTTATATAACATTTACCTGTCAAACAATAAACTGTAATATAATATTTACCTGTCAAAGTTTTAGTACTATTGTTATAAACTCCTTGGTATCTCATAATATTTTGAAGAAGTTCTGAAGAAAATCTTTCTTCTGTATAAATTGTTGGTGGAAAAAGTTGACAATGTAGCCGAGGTCGAGATATCGCAACTCGAATGTTATCTTGGAAGTATAGCCAATTTACAATAACCTGTTAAAAGATAATTAAATTTATTTTATTGCTTCATGTTTGAAAATAATTTACTAAATGCTTCGAGTTATAAAAAACATTCTATACATTATAAAATAATAATAATATTATTTTATTTAAATTCAGCGTCTGTTATTTATTTGAAACTTTATATTTAAAATAACATATATATATAAAAGAATATATCTATCTAAACTTTATTATCATTTTTTATTATTAAATAAATTTATATTTAAAAGAATATATTTATACAAACATGTATATAACAAAGTATAAACAAAAGTGACAAAAAAGTCTCTCACTTGAACTAATGAAGTGGGTATAAAACGACCTCCAGCAGCTCCAAATACTCCAACAACGTCTCCTTTTTCATCAAGCATAATAATTGGTGACATTTGAGACAAAGGACGTTTACCAGAATGCGGATAATCTGGTTTAATGTTATACTGATTACGCCACTCTTTATGAAATTCAATAGCGTCGTTATTATAAATTATTCCCAATTCAGGGGACATAATTCGCGCTCCAAAGCTTATAAAATTTAAAAGTCAAAAAATTTTAAAACATTACATTTGGTAATTCTTAAATACCCATTCAAAGTTTGCACAATAAACAATAATTATATATGCATATACACTCATATTTAGTTTACATATATACAAAAGTTCATACACATATATATATATATATATATATATATATATATATATATATATATATATATATATATATATATATATATATATATATATATATATATATATATATATATATATATATATATATATATATATATATATATATATATATATATATATATATATATATATATATATATATATATATATATATATATATATATATATATATATATATATATATATATATATATATATATATATAGAGAGAGAGAGAGAGAGAGAGAGAGAGAGAGAGAGAGAGAGAGAGAGAGAGATTATATCATACATACTAATTATTTATTGATGTTGTTCCGCTGATAGCATTGCCGTGGTTGTCAACTATTGAAATGTGCGAAGTGCCTTGTTTATTAAAAGGCGCACGTTTATTGTAAGGGCCATAGTAAATAAATGGATGTGATATATTATCAATAAATTGAAAGCGTTTCAAAGCAATTAAAGGATCAACCATATAATTTTCAACCTAAAAAATTTGAATAAGTTTTGTATTGCTAGGGTCAAGTTTGCTCAGATAAATTTAATAATCGGAATATAATTACATATTTAGCAGTTGAGCTAAACTTTGGATCTTGTAAGAAAGTGTACGGTCCATAAGAAAGCTTTATTGCTTCAATCATTTTATGATACACCAGAGCAGGTTTTTTATGCAAATCATCTTTAGTCCAGTTGAATGCATCAATTATCTTTAAAGCAAGTAACACTAAAGGTCCACCTGACGGAGCTGACGTTGTGAGAACTGTTAAATTTCGAATCTTAGTTATTAATGGTTTTCTAGTAACAACACGATAGTTACTCAAATCTTTCAAAGTAATAGATCCGCCGTTAAGTTTGACATCTTGTACAATTTGTTGTGCAATTTTACCTCTAAAAATAATTTATTTTAAGAATTGATTTTATAATATGAAAGTTAAAATATAAAAATGGTTTCCTGGTAATTGGAAATAGTTTTACAATAAAATTTTCTTGTTTAATGAGAAGTTATCAAATGCAACCTCTTATCGTGAAAAAGTTTTTTACAAATACTAATTTTATTAGTGTTTTTGTTTTGAAAAAAAACTCACAACAAATGGTTTAGGAACCCATTGAGTTTAGTCAAGAAAAAGAAAACTGTAATTCCATTGTATTCACGTTTGAAGAGGTTGCGGAGTGGTAGCGGGGTATTAAACAGATATTGTTTCCAGTCTACTGCAGTTTTTTGCAAAACATTCTCATTACTACAAGGGGAGTAGGGCACTTCTAAAATCATTTTTAAAAACAAAAATATTGAAGTTGAGTGTTATTCAATTGTATAAAATATGGTCATATGTTATTATATTTATAACATTAACCAAGAAACAGTTTTTTAGTTTCAGAAATCTTTTTTGTATACTACTTATTGGTTAAAAGGATAAAGTCATAAGTTAAAGTTAGGGGGCGAATGTGGTTGTACAAATTTTACTAAATCTAGCAAACCTAACAAACAAGGCGTTGGATTTAAAAAACTATTTTAACATTAGAAAGATAACTTAACGTGAAAAAAATTTTTTAAATAAAGAACTTTTTTTTGAAATGTTTGAGAAAACTTTGCATAATGTTTCCTAACCTGCTCAACCTGTCGCAGCGGAGTATTTTAAGCAGGTGGAGAGCAGGTGGTAATAAACGAGCTAATGCATTTGCATTATATAAAATTGGATTAATCTTAAATTTACTGTTAACAGTAACATTTGCATTATACAAAATTGGATTAATCTTAAAGTTACTGTTAACAGTAAGCGTTTCAAAAAGTTTCAAAGCCTTTTAATGTAAATATTTTAATGATAATAGTAAGGTTTAAATAAAACTAGAAAAAAATAAAATGAGTTACAATTACTATTAAAACTTGAATCCAATAACAAAAGACAAGTTTTGATTGGTTTATATTAATAATTGTATTATCATAATAAACTTACTTATAAAATATGCCGTCATCACATGATTTAGAAATCTTTTCAAAAGTTTTTGCCAGTAATGGTCTTTTTATTATTTCACCAAATTTAAGTTTGTGACCATTTAGCTCAACTAGAGACCTTACAAATTATTACAAATATATAAAAATACATAAAGTTATAAATATTAATTACAAAGATTGCATTTAAAGACTGTAAATATAAACATAAAGACTGCACTTAGGTCAGAACAATAATTTGGAGTTATAATACTTTTTGATTTACCAAAAATTGATAAATACCTTAAAGAGACATCATCTATAAAATTCATTTGATTAATTGCATTATTTAATGCAGCTCCAATTGGAACACCTTTGTGAGCGTATTTTATACATGGTTCCCAAAGCTTTTCCCATGATATTTTTTTACTACCAAATTTTTTCCATAATGAGAAAAGTCCTTTTAATACTCCAGGTATCAAGATTTGCTGACCAGTGCGTGATGTTTCTATAAACCATTTATAAATATGAAATAAGTAGCTTTAACGCAAATTATTAAGAAAATAAATCGTAAACTATCAAATATGCAACATTTATGCAACAAAAACGCTTTTTTGAATTTGTAAAAATTAGTTTATAATAAATAATAAATTTTTGTAGTTCTAAAATGCTTACCTAAACACTAAGGTAAAAAATATTAAGTATTTTAGTACATAAAGAAAAAGGCACTTATTTATACAAGACACTTTTTCGAGTATTTACTGTTAGTACAAATAACAGTTGAAAGTTTTTAGTAAAAAAAAGGTTTTACCGTTTAAGAAAAATTTGCGAGGTAAAGTCTCTCGAAAATCAAATGCTTTAGATTTTCCTAACAAATAAATAATTTGTTTAAGAAAAAAAAATTAATTACTAAGTTTTAATAAATAGTATAAAAACCAGTTTTGTGGCTAAATATTTTTAAATCAAGCTTAAGAATAAATTTTAACCTGTTTTACGACTATAATATATAATAAATCCTCCACCACCCAAACCAGTAGAATGACTGTTTACTATCTCTGTACAGCAGTGAGTTGTGATAAAAGCATCTGCAGCATTTCCCCCTTTTTTTATGATATCAACTCCGATTGAGGAGCATAATTTACTGTCCGCAGCAACAGCAGCTTTTTTAAATCGTAAAGGTGACGTGGTCTTTAAATTTGGTTGGTTAAAACCGATCCAGTTTCGTTTATGGAAAGCTGTAAATAGAATATTACAAATCTATATACTTTGTTTTGTTAATTTCATTCGTAATTATATATCGGTAATAATTGATTGTTTTAATTTCTAAAATATGCTTCTACACTTGCTAGTTTAATTACTAAAATATCTAAACTAAAACGTAAAATATTTTATGCATTAGTGTATCAAAATGTATTTTGATTCTCTAATTCATAAATTATTTTAGGTTATTCGGCAATAAACAAAAAAGTTACCATTTATTGAAATATAAAATGAAATAATTCAAAATAGCGTAAAGTATCAACAATCATTGTTAATAAAATTATTTAAAATTAAAATCATATTGATGCAGTATTTTTTGATGTTTAATCTATCTTCGAGAAATGGAGCAAATTTATTTATACCTAAATTTATTTATACCGTTCATTTATTTATACCTAAACACCAAATAAAGATGTTTTTTAAAATATTGCAATGATTAGAGTCTGTGAATAAAAAAGCCCTATAATGTTGGCTTTAAAAACCTGCCCAAACGAGAGCAACAAGTTATTTAACTATTTTTTTATACTATTCTCAAATAAATTTATATTTGTTAATAAATTTTATATTTTAAACAATTTATTATTTAGCGTTTAAAAATTATGACTTTATAAAGTTGAACCTCCTCAATTTGAGGGGGTTACAAGTTTTACAAGTTGAACCTCCTCAATTTGAGGGGGTAGGAAGTTTTACAAGTTGAACCTCCTCAATTTGAGGGGGTTACAAGTTTTACAAGGCTTTAACTTTTGAATGTTAAGAAATTATTTTATGAAATTTAAAACTTACTAATGAATTCAAACTTAGTTGAGAATAGTTAGAAGAATATTTTGGATAACTTGTTGCTTTCACGTTTGGGGCAATTAAACTTTTTTGTCCAAGGCCAACCATCGCAATATTTTGCTAAGCATCTTTTTTTGACATAAGTATAAGCATATAAATGTTAAGAGTATGCTCCATGTTTGAAAGTTAGCTAAAGAAATATATAAACTGAAGAAATTTAAAACTTAAGTCTTATTTAGTTCATTTTAAAGGCTGTTTAATGAACAGTGTTCGTTAATTGTTTAAATATAGTTGGCAATTTTTACATCCTCCTCCTCTAATCAACAACTTATCAAACTTCCAGAAATGTTCTATAAAATTACGTTAATAATTAATTGCACTTTCCTCTCTCTTAATATAAAATTAAAGATTTTAAATCAAATTCGTAAAGGGTCCTAATGCCCTTTACGAGTTTAGGGGCCTATGACAATCGTAACCCCTTTTTATATTGGCTGCTCTAAAGTATAGTTGCATTTTTTTATGTATGCAAAAAAATAAAAAATAGTAATAAATGATGAAACTAAATACAATGATTTTTTATAAAACAAAAAGTAAAAATAAAACAATTATTGTTTTTTTTATTATCATTATTTATTAGCAGTTTGTTAAAATTTTAATAAAGACATTAAAATAATGTAAAACCTGACAGGAACAAGAAGAAAACAAGTTGTCTTATTACGAATTCTGGTTACCATTGCACAGTGGGCCAGGTGGTGGAAAAAAGTATTAAGTAACTATTCTCGAAAATGACATTGTTATATACCATTTTATAGCTTAACCATCCGGCTTTTATAAAATATACATATTTCTGTATGCCGTTTGCATTTTAAGCTGTTAATAAAAAAGGTATTTTTTTTTCCAATTTTTTTTTTTTTTAATTTAATAATATTTTTCGTGTTAGTAATAAGCATAAAATTGTTATTAATTATTAAAACTTCATTTTTTAATTAAATAAAACTAAGTATTATCTATCAAATAAGCTATTGCAAAAATATTTTGCACGTAAGCTATTTCAAATAAATTGATTTCTAATGATGGCGTATTTAAAGCATTTTTTTAAGTGAAAATTTTACTTAAATATTGAAATAATTTTGCACTCCAAGATGCTCCAGAAATTTGAGACTTAAAATATCTTTCCCAATGTGTACATTATTGATATATATTTTATATATTGTTGGCGGGTGTCAGCTGCGTCTCTATTCATGATTTTTACAAGTTTCATCTTTGGGGCAGGGGGGCCAATATTCTGGCTTTTCTTTGTGTTCCCAGGCTCCAATCATCTCAATTTTTTGGCAAATCATATTTTTTTCATATTAAAATAAACATATAAATATTTGGAGTTTGTTTTATCTCCAAATGTCTCATGAATAATATACTTTATGTATTTGTAGGCTGAAAATATTTTGATATCTATGTATTCATTATGCATAAGCCTAATAATCTACAAATATCTGACTCTGGTATTGTAGACAAACTTGTTAATGTTATGAATTTGAATTGCAACAAGCAGCAATTAAGAACTATGATAACGCATCTACAAGATAAGTGGCGCAAGTCATATTTCAGCATGGCTTGATTTGAAGAAAAGAACAAAAAATGGCCGCATGCTCCTGAAGATTTAGATGTAACACCAATACCTTTTGGAAGACCAAATAAAACAACCTTAGATGACTACTCTATTAAAACCAAAAAACATAGAGTAAGTCACTTAACTGAAATGTATTCTACTTCTGCGTTACAATTTGCTTCGAAATTAAACAGAGAAAAGAAAATCCAACTAAAAACACCTCAAAAAAAGATTGTAGAATATCTTAAGATGAAACTCTTTGTCTTCTTTTAGATGCTAGATTGAAAAAAGCTTTCTACTAAATTATTTGAAATCAAGCAGTTGAAAAGGGAGTTGATATATATCCTCCATATAATTATGTTCGGGATGCAAAGCTGTTATGCTATTCTGCAGATATATCTGTCTCAGACTTTTCAGCTGAAATAAAACTGCAAGCTTTGATTGATCATACAGGAAACAGAATATGCAAGTTGTAGAGCAAATAGAATATGCAAAAGAATATCCAAGGAATATGCAAAAACAGTATGACGTCCTTAGCACTGAAGGCACTCCAGACTTTCTCTGAAATACAAAATAGGCTTTGATGGTGCCACGGGACAATCTATATATAAACAAATATTGCAAGAAATCGTAATAAAAAATTTAAACAATGAGCAGGCATTTTATTAGATTCCTAGTACCATTGACTTGTGTGGTTTTTCAAATGGAAAACGGTACCCAGCTTAACGAAAACCATGACCATTATCAACAATGTATTGTAGACCTCTTTTAAATTTGAAAACAGCAGTTTCTAAATCAGAAGAGGATCTTATTAGGGTTGAGATTTCAAACTTGCAAGATGCAGAAGTTAATACAAATAATAAAAGAATTAAAATATTTTTTTAAAATTTTTAATTTAAAAAAATATTTTAATTCTTTTATTATTTGTATTAACTTTTAAAATGATTTTAAAATGCGGAAAAGTTTGCAGAAATTTTAAATATTGATGTTGAACTGATTATAAATTTGCATATTATATTGGCAACAATTTTATGTGGTTTAGATATTGACTCTATAAACTTGATGCTTTCTGATTAAAAACAGCTCGACTTTATGTTCATTATTATCTTCGGTACTATATGCCACAATCTCTTTACAAAGTATTAATCCATGGTTCTGAAATTATTAAAGGTTTAGCATTACTTATTGGTATGTATTCTGAAGAAGCTCAAGAAGCACGCAATAAAGACTTTCAAAACTATTGTGAACATTTTGCAAGAAAATTATCTCGTGTGAAAACTAACCAAAATTTGTTGAATCAACTTCTGTGTACATCTGATCCATTTATTGCATCTCTGAGAAAGACAGCAGGAAGTCACCCTAAAACGAGCTGGAGTTATTGAGATCATCCTCAGATGATATTAGTTTATAAATGTATCTTTTGTATCTTTATAATTTTGGAAATGTCTGTACCTATATGAAAGTGTGACTGTAAATTAAAACAATTAGTTATGCTCATTCCTATTAGAATCATCAAATTAATTTGCATATCAAGTTTAAAAAAATCTGGCTAAAAATAACCCTTAGCAACTAAGCATAAATACGTGTTGCTATGCAAATGGGGTTGCCTTGGCAACCACAAAAAAATGTTAATTTAAATTATAATCATCCAATTAATTTATATACCAATTTTTGAGGCCTATGGATGAAAGGAAAAAAGTTCTGAATTTTTTCAAAAATATGGGATTCTGGCTCACTGTGCATTGCGGTTTTTTAAACGTTATAAAAATGTTAAGGCATAATAAAATAGCAAATACACTCAAACTTTCATCAAAATACTTTAGCAAATAATATATCCATGGATTGAGTTAAAAGATAAAATACAAACTAAAAAAGAAAGGCAACTCTCTCTCTCTCTCTCTCTCTCTCTCTCTCTATATATATATATATATATATATATATATATATATATATATATATATATATATATATATATATATATATATATATATATATATACTGAGGCATATTCGTTTAGCCACATCAATTTTTTTCTCATTATCTTAATTTTTTTCTATGAATTGTCAACTGATATGCATGCAAGTTATTATTAAAAATAATTGTTGTGTTTTGGGCTAATAAAAATCACAAAATTTTTTTTCTATGTGTCTTTATTAACATGAGAGTATGTTTGATATAAAGAAGTAAATTTTTTAATTGGAATATATCTATAGACGCAATCAGGTTAATAACGGTAATTATTGATTCTTAATCACTTTTACACAAATAAATTGATAAATTATAGTGTAATTTGATCTTTTGCTCTGCCAGTATCATTTTTATTGCATTTTAAAAAATGCTTAAAGGAAAGTATTTGACAGGTGCTGAAAAAATACAAATTAATTTATATCGTGGCTCAGAAATCTCACCAGCACTTTCTATACGAGAAATAGCAAGAAAAATTGGAAGATCTGGCCATGTTGTACGAAACTAGATTGCAAAAGATGACAATTACCGTGTAAAAAAAGCAACAAACGGCAACAAAGTATTGGCAAATTAATCGAATTCGCTTCAAAGCAACCAAAAATAAATTGAATGCAACACAAATAAAGG